AAAAAAAAAAAAAAAAAAAAAAAAAAAAAAAAAAAAAAAAAAAAAAAAAAAGCTCCAGTGGACAGTTGCATTAAATGATTGACTAGTCTTACAAGTTAGTCACCTAATGTTATTCTTTAAGACTGGTCAAAACTCGTTTAAGTCAGTTACATAAAAAAACATTGATTGGTCTAATTTGAATCTGAAAAATAAGATTCATTACCTATTGGCTAACTGCTAGCTGGTCAGATTAGTTCTGTTGATAAGACACAGTCTTAACATAGAAGCTAGATTTATGCAACTGGACCCAGTTATCCAAAAACACTAGATTTTGTGTTTCATTCACATCCATTCTTGTGATTGTGAATGTGGGACAGTGGGTGCAATGAGATATGCTGAAAAAGCAACTAGTAAGATGTTGAAAATGACAAAATGGCACAGATTGTACAAAAAAAATCAGTAGAAAAATCCATATATGAAGGTTAGCCAATCATAACAGAGGCCATTTATCTATTGATGCTAAGGAACAGTAGCAAAAATTGTGGGAAATAGTCATATAAAACTAAAATATGGTGCAAGAAATATAACTAACATTATAAGTGGACTTCAGAGAAAAACATAACATGATAAAGTGTGTAGAATTTGATACCTTTAAGCAGAATACCTTCGTTAAACTGAATCTATAGTCTGTCAAAAAGCCACTGAGGCTCAGGAACTCTCTCACGCTCAAAAGTTAACTATCTTTTGGCACAAACATCTTAATTCACTGCATTCATATCCCTGGAACCCTTTGAAGTGCTCTATTATTCCCCCACAGGAGCATTAATGTGTCCAGAGAGGCCAGAGAAGCGCTTCACCCTGCCTGCCATTGATCAGTGCTGAGACACCCTGACTGAAGAACATCTCCCAATTGATCCAATTAGCGCTGATGAGGAAGACTGGGACAGAACCCAATCGAGTGCTGTCCCTGCCTCCGACGCCTTTAAACACACATTCTTATGCAAGTCACGGCTTCTAGAGAGAAAGTTTCTTGGGGCAACAAATGGTGCAAATGTTTCATTAAGTTGCTACACCCCCCAGAGAGAGTCACAGTGAGAAAAATGTCTTGTTTTTTAAAATGAGTCATATGTCCTAAGGCTGTATTTTAGTGCAAAGTAAATAAAAATGTTCTGCATTTGAATGCAAAGTAACAGGTGCACCAAAGATAAAAATGAGGACGAGATGTACTAACCTGCACCCACGTGTATTCAGCACCCAGCTCTACAATCAGATCTGCCCACTTGTCAATCACTTTGCGGATCTCTGCGGGCTGCATGAGCGGGAGGGTGATGTCAGACCAGGGGTGGAAACACATGACCTTACTGAAAACAAACATAACACAATAAATTTGGTTGAAACTATCTAGCTGTCCGTCCGTCCGTCCATCTATCTATCTGTCTGTATCTATATCTATCTGTCTGTCTGTATCTCTATATCCATCTATCTGTCTGTCTGTCTATATCTATCTGTATCTCTATATCTGTCTGTCTGTCTGTATCTCTATATCTGTCTGTATCTATCTATCTATCTATATCTGTCTGTCTGTATATCTATCTATCTATCTATCTATCTGTCTGTATCTATCCATCTGTCTGTCTGTCTGTTTATCTATCTATATCTGTCTGTCTATCTATCTATCTATCTATCTCTATCTGTATCTATCCATCTCTGTCTGTCTATATATATCTCTATATCTGTCTGTATCTATCTATCTATCTATATCTGTCTGTCTGTATATCTATCTATCTATCTATCTATCTGTCTGTATCTATCCATCTGTCTGTCTGTCTGTTTATCTATCTATATCTGTCTGTCTATCTATCTATCTATATCTATCTGTCTGTATCTCTATATCTGTCTGTCTATCTATCTATCTATATCTATCTATCTTTATCTCTATATCTGTCTGTCTGTCTGTCTGTCTATCTATCTATCTATATCTATCTGTCTGTATCTCTATATCTGTCTGTATCTATCTATCTGTCTGTATCTCTATATCTGTCTGTATCTATCTATCTATCTCTGTCTGTCTGTCTGTCTATCTCTAATCTGTCTGTCTGTCTATCTATCTGTAGTCATGATCTAAGCAGCATTCATCATAAAACATTCAGTGGATGTTACACTTCACCTTTGGAAATCAGCCCGGCAGAGTTATGAATAAATACATAGCCTAATTCAGTTTACTCTCAGCCCTGAATGAAACCCAACAGCTGTGCCTGCAAACTTTCCAAAGTCTCCTCTTTCAGGCTTTATGTGGGGCAGCCAGTTCTCTCTATTAGGCGTCCTTGACTTGTTTGTGCCTCGAGCGCTATTCTTACTACTTTGAAAACAATGTCAGATCCCAGTGCATTAGAGTTGAGCGTCAGTTGGCAGGGTCTGTGTGTTTGCGGCCTGCTCTGCTACGCTACTAATTGGATGGTTGCACACACAGGTGCCTTTTCAGAGCAGCCGTCTGTCCCTCCTCAGAGTCTGTAAAGTTATCTTCTGCCTTCAAAAATAGTGCATAAAATGGTCCAGTGTGGAGAAGATAAAACGGAAAGCACTAGGGATCAGGGAAATCGGGGTATTAGACAATCTAATGGCGTCTTTCCCATAAAACATGTCCACGTGACAATCACTGTGCACATATAATGGGCCTGAATGACATTGTGCAAAGACTCTTTCACCTCATTCACTTCTTTGATGACAGCGCCACCTAGTGTTAACAATATGACACAACCAGAAAGAGAAGGGGGAATGAAATATTAACAAATTATGGGACTGGTTTGTCTTTTAATCTACTGGTGTATTAAAATTACTTTTCAGCTAATAAATTGGCAAATCCTAAACATGATACAACTCAAAATCATGTATTATGTATCATGACTATATAAATATAAATATGTATTATATTATTAATATAAAACAGTAGTTTTTAAATACAACATTTAAATACTTAAAAAAAATTTAATAAAATACAATCAAAATGATGACGTAATAAAACGTAATACAAAACAAACTAAAAATTACTAAAACATGATAATATTTTTAAAAATAAAGTATGAAAATTTAGGAATTTCTAAATAAGGCTCAGCCAGTCACACATAAGTAAATCAATCAATAAATAAATAAATATAAATGTTGCATTTTTTAAATTCAAACAAATATAATAAGGTTTTTGTTTGTTTGTTTGTTTTTATTAAGCATTGTTTTTTTATAAAGCATTGTTTTGTACAACCAGTTCATTGTGCAAGTAGTGATTTAGCAGACACTTTTATCCAAAGTGACTTCAAGTGCACTTACACTGGAGTAACTGTTAAGTGTTCAAACATTTTAGTTACCAGCCCAGATTTTTACTTGCTCAAATCGCACATACTCATATTAAAGACAAACCAGAAGGACACAACCAAAGTTAGAATGTGAAAAATGGTGATTTCATAAATAATCTACATAATACACTAACACAAGCAAGACGCCGGTAAAGCCTTGATTTGATGCATCCTCACTTATTGCTACGATATTTCGTTATTTCCTCTCAGCTAACGCTCTCCTGAGGTGTCGCCGTTCTGGCAGCACAATCAATTTCTACAGGCAGCACGATTAAACTCAGGGAAATAGTTTATTAGAGGGGCCACGAGCCACAATAAACAAGCTAATGCACTGTGCTAACAAAGTATCCCTCAGTGCCGGCAATCTGTGATAATGCGCTATAAGGAACAGCAAGAATACTATAAAATAGGTTAAAACTTCTGGTTAAAGATCTGGGCTGCGCTTCTCAAACGTATCTTAAGTTAAGTTGATCATAGAGACCATTGGTGGCAATGGGTCTACGATCTACTTAGGCTTTCAATACTTTTGAGATAAGCATCTGCTATTTTTGATGCCCTTGCGTGGGAACCCCATCCTTAAAAAATAAATGCATGGTCACGTTATAAACTAAAGGCCCGTTTATACTGTGAAAAATATAAATATTCTACTGTAAAATGTTATCTGGAAAACACTTACTTTCTATTAAGTTTATTTATTTATTCATTCATTCACTATTGAATATATTATATTGTTTACTAAATAAAATGCATTTATTTAATATTTTACACTCTTTTTCACAGAACCTTTCTGTGCACCACCTAGAATCCCTTTGCGGCTGCCTAATCCAGATTTATGATAACGGCAATGACTTTTCATTTATGAGTATCCGCACACCTCTCCTCAACAAGAAACAACTGTTGAAATACCATTCAGGTCTGACAAACAGTGCAGAATGAGTTACATGCCTAAGCTGAATATTTAGGCTTAAGGGTTTAGTTCGTAATAGTGATGGTTAAAGGGTTAGTTCACCCAAAAAAGAAAATTCTGTCATTAATTACTCACCCTCATGTTGTTCGAAACCCGTAAGACCTTCGTTCATCTTCGGAACACAATTTAAGATATTTTTGATGAAATCTGAGGGCTCTCTGACCCTCCCATAGACAGCAAGGTAACTACCACGTTCAAGGTCCAGAAAAGTACCGAGATGATCGACAAAGTAGTCCGTGTGACATCAGTGGTTCAACTGTAAAGTTACGAAGCTACGAGAATACTTTTTTGAGCAAAGAAAACAAAAATAACAACTTTATTCCACATTTTCGTCTCTACTGTGTCACTTGTGAATGCGCGTCCACAAGTGACACAGTTAATAATAATGACACAGTTATTCTTGTAGCTTCGTAACTTTACAGTTGAACCACTGATGTCACACGGACTACTTTGTCGATCATCTTGGTACTTTTCTGGACCTTGATCATGGTAGTTACCTTGTTGTCTATGGGAGGGTCAGAGAGCTCTCAGATTTCATCAAAAATATCTTAATTGTGTTCCGAAGATGAACGAAGGTCTTACGGGTTTGGGATGACATGAGGGTGAGTAATTAATGACAGAATTTTCATTTTTGGGTGAACTATCCCTTTAACTTTAACTTTAAGCAAGCAGTACTAGTTAGTAAGTTTAGTTCATAAAAAATAAGAAATAAACCGCTCTCACCAAACACCTCTGGCTGCTTTGCTTTGGAAGAGTGGGTGATGATCTGAACCTAGAACAATAAACACAGATTATCAGCAAATGGTTAAAACGTTGGAACATTAAGACAATAATTGCACTTTAAATGTTTTAACTTTAAACTTTGCAGGAACATTAATGGTCTACTTTCATTATAACAGCAAAAAAATACTGTGGCGGTATCATAATAGAGAGACTGTATGAGATGACAGCATGATAGTTTGTTACACACTACTGTTCAAAAGTTTAGGGTCAGTAAGATTTGTATTTTCTTATGCTTACCAAGTCTCTTCCTAAGTCTTACTTTATTTGATGGAAATACAGTAAAAACAGAAATATTGTGAAGTATTATTACTATTTAAATGAACTGTTTTATATTGCAATATATGTTCAAATGTAATTTATTGCTGTGATCAAAGCTGAATTTGTGTCACCAGTCTTCTGTGTCACATGATCTTCAGAAATCATACTAATATGCTGCTCAAGAAACATTTATTATTATTATCAGTGTTCAAAACAGTTGTGCCGTTTCATATTTTTCACATTTCATATCCAGTTTTTCCATTACCATGTTACAGGTCCAAAAAAGTGTTATATTTGTGTTAGTAGAACATCCCAAATGCTGAAATCTACAGTAAAAACGCTTACAGAAACAGAATAAAGTGTGATTGAGTCTTATGGGACTGAATGGGACGGTAGATCATACCGGGGTCTGGAGCGTCAGGCTGGAGAGCAGGGAAATCATTGTCAAACATGAACGTGCAGTCATATTCAGGATTCACCTGGAATAAAACGGAGGAAAATATCAAATGATTGGTGTAGCCTATCCACAGTCTGGTGGATAAGGCATCCCTGAGCGCGGTCTCTTTCAGTTATTTGACTAGACAAACTGCTTCCAGCCAAACGTATATATCTGAACGAAGCAGCAACATCGAATAGCGCCAGAGTTCAAGAGTTCATGCTCAACATCTTGTCTGAATGTAGAATAGCCTGGCAACTTTCTGAATTTAATTAATCCTTAAATAATAATATCCACAAATGAGAGAGTCAGCCAAGAACATTTTTCAGGCTTAAAAAAAAAACTGTGCCACTGAATATTCATTGATGTATAACTCACACGGGCAGACGGAGAGAAATGTACGTTCAAGGAAAGGATATCAATTTTTTGTTTTTTTTTCCCTGCTTAGTCAGAGAATGCTGTATAATGAATGCAGACACATCACTTTCCACAGAGAAGATGGTTTCATCTGTGTTCCTAAAAAAGCTCCCATAATGCTGCAGGCTGAGCCAGAGGTGTCGAAAGCTTATAACTATAAGCTCATGAATGTTTAAAATCCTTAAATGGACCATTTTACTGCAATCTGATAACTTGAAAATAGTGCATATAAACGGATCGGAAATGGCACTGCAGTTATGCAGCACAAAAAGTAAAGAAAAAAGAAAAGGATATATACTACCCTTCAATGAATTTCACTAAATAAAAAAAGCCTTCATTTTCTTTGACAGGAATATTCTGGGTTCAATCTGGGTTCAAAAACTCAGGCTCCATTGACATGCATGCATTTTAAAGGGGTCCTATTATGCTTTTTCAACTTTAGTTTTTTCCACCATAATTTGCAAATAAATTCTTTAAAAATCCTACAATGTGATTTTCTGGATTTTTTTTCCCCATTTTGTCTCTCATAGTTGAGGTATACCTATGATGAAAATTACAGGCCTCTCTCATCTTTTTAAGTGGGAGAACTTGCACAATTGGTGGCTGACTAAATACTTTTTTTCCCCACTGTATTTTATTTAACAGAAATCACTTTTCAAAAACTACAATGAATGACTCGTTTGGACTACAACGCATATTTTCCGGGAGTTGTGATATCACAAATATCGACGAATGGGATGAGACCTGGTTGAGCTGCACTACAGAAGGCAACGAGTGTTATCACTATGTCGGAGACACGCTAGCTTTCCCAACGAACTTAGAGTGGTTACAATCATCCGGGTTTAAATCACGCACAAATTGATTTGATTTTGACGTAATATTTATACTGAAGCTCGCAGGCAGCTATGGTAAGGGGCATGACATTTCCTGAGCAGGTGCCGAGTGCTGCCAATCACAGCACATACCGGCACAACTAACCAATCACAGCACACACTGGCCCAGCTAACCAATCACAGCACACA